CCACTGTCAGTTGTTGGTGCACCTAGCTTCTACGTTGGGTGAAATGAGTTTACTCCATGCTCAGTTGGATAACACAAGAAATCTTGATTGGTATGTTAAGCAAGTGCAGTTGCTCTAAAAAACAATAACTAGCTGCACATGCTCGCAGTTACTATGCAAAAAGATTTTCTCTGATTTTTTCAGGTTAGGGCACCTTTAGGAAAAGTTTTGGAAGTTTTGTTGGCGAAACTCTATAAAAAGGACGCTATCTGGTCTTATGTCTATTGATCCTCTAGTTGGAGCTTCGTCTCAGCACAGGTTGCTAAGTCTGACTATGCTTCCAAGCCAGCGATGCTTTGGCAAATTTAATCATTAGAAAACTGAATTAATTAAATTTCTAGATGTCTTATGTCCATTAATCCTATAGTTGGAGCCATGTTTTTTCTAAGTATTCTCAAGGGAACATCAATGATATGCTGTTAGTTGAGGGAATGTTGATAGTATGGTTGGTTGAGTTTGAATAAAAAGCGTACAAAAAAACTTTGCAAAACTTAAAAACCAAAACAAAACAAAACCAAAACTCTGTTAACGTTTAGCACTTTGCATAATAGCGGACCAGTTGTAAAGTTCGCTTCAAAAATTGTGTCTTTCTGAGATTGCTGATATGTACCAAAAATGGTATTTGATTAAAAGTGGAGTCTCATTCTTTTAGCAAAAAGGCCCGATCACCTTGGAGAGGTTATAGCAAAAGGGTCTGTTACAACTCTTTTTTCATGAAAAAAAATGACTAATACAAATCCATTGTAATAGATGTTACATCTAGTTAGTTCTAAGTGGGGGAATTATAAGTACTGATTTACCTGCAGATTATGATCATGTCCAGCAATGTAAGCCGATACACCATAAGCTTTGAGCATAGGATCGAGTCTATTGATAAGACAAGGTGTTGATCCATGTGAGGATGTGGAATAGATGGGATAGTGCCCAACTACAAAAAGGTAGTCTGCCCTAAAATGGGATTACAGTGAAGACCAGTTCAATAGACGCCCTAAGAAAGTCTTATTTGTCTTTGTTTTTAATCGATTTCTCGTAGATAAATACAATCACAGCTACTTTGCACGAAATTGACCAAGGTCGTATCGGCTTTCATTCTCTCCATACCAAAAAAATTGAAGACTAAAAATGATAGCCTAACGTTTCCCAGAACTATAACTGCACTTCTTGGTTTTTACTTTCGTTCTTTTCCCAACAACCGAAACAATTGCTGCCCAAAAAATTGAGATCATCATTATTGTTACGAGCTACTGATGTCAAGAGAAGTTATTTTGCAAAAGCTATTTTGCGCGTCAAAATTCTTGAGTCGTGTTTTGCAATAATTGTTTTTGAGCTTTTGAGAAAATATTATATCGTTAGTGAACTTACATAATTAAATTGTTCTCAATGTTTGGGAATCAAACTAATCAAAAAAGCGCTCAATCATTGACCTTACAATTAACAGGACCTCCCTATCCTAAGACGGTATGGAACTTCTTTAATATCGTCTCCAAATTTTATAAGAATCATTAGGTTAATCCTTTTCATACTTATTTGTATCCTTCAGCAATGGGAAGTTTAGTGCTTATATCAAATTCTGAATACATGGAATTTTTTAGTCAACTCTCTCCTTCAAACGTCTTCTGTCTTGTTTATTTACGGAAGTTTCTATGCGTTAACATTTAGACATAGGTACCTATCCCAAATTCCGAACTTTTAAATCTTATATTTTCTCATAAACCAAGTTTCAAGTAATTTTTCTTTGTAGAACTTGAGCCCTTTTTTGAGGAGTCTTTGAAAAGAGACTAGCTTTATAGGTGGTACCATATTCTTTGTGAAATGCTCTTATTCTACCAAACTTTTGGGTTCAAAATCTATCATGAGTACCATCCCAGATGATTGGAAATCATTTTCTTAACCTAAAATAACAACCGACTTGCTTGCGCTCAAATTCTCATTGATCCATCTCCATTGCATTTCTGCTTTCTCCGGTTCCTTTGGACCCTACAAGAAAATGATATCAAAAGATTATTTTTTTCTAAAAAATGAATAAATCCTAGGAACGTAATCTTTGCAACCTGAGGAACGTGTGATCTGGTCAAAAGCACATCAAAGGCGGCACCATTTTGAATGTCTGCCGTGTTTCCACACAACACTATTGTGTCAATCATCAAAATGTCTACAGAGATGTCATTCAGGGAAAAGGACAATTTATAGTAGAGTTTGGGGAAGATCCTGCAAAAAAATCTCAGTAATCGATAACAAAACTCTGAATTTGTTTCTGAGCTGACCATTTTCGGCTATATTTAGTGTAGGCAACTTGTGCAAAGACGTTGCCAAAATGGTCGTGATTTCCTGCGATCATGAACCAAGGCACATTCAATCCTCTGCCATTATAAACGTCTTCGAAAGAGGTCTAGGAAAAATATGGAGTAAATAATTTTTTAGACATTTATCCCTCCTCCGTTTCCCTTCTTATTGATGAAGTTCGCTTACTCCAACTCTTCGTCTTACCCTGTTAAGTAATTTGTTTCATCCAGAAAAAAACTTCAATGTTTAAGGTTGGTTAAATGAATGGAAGTTGCTTTCATTTGGTAAAGTGAGCTTGACTTCCATCAATAAGAGCCTGATTTATACAAAACTTCGCATCTAAACTAAACTAAAAAGATAGAAAATGATAAAGCCAAAAGCCCTTGTACGCAGAGTTTGAAAAAGAGAAACCACTTCTTTATTTTTGAAGAAGAACATGTTATCCCAAAAAATTCTTTTCCTTTTCTCTGTTTCATCACGAAAAATCACTTAAAACGATCATTCATTGCATCCGCATAAACTTTCCATATCCAAAAATTTGCGTCCCGCAAAACCGCAGAGAGAGGCTATTTGTCCCAAAAAACGACTTTTAATAATTAAAAATTATTTTGGAAAAC